CTGAGGCAGCCCATCAGCTGTTAATTGCCTCAATGCCACAGATTCACACTTCGTTACACCGTCTTTCACACAGAGCATTCCTCTCCAACAGCCACAATCTTCAGCTATTTCACACAATTTATTATTACCCCAGCTAGATGGGATTTTGGTCACAATCCCCTTGGGTCTACATTTTTCCTTCCCTTAAGTCTCCATCCAGAAAACACTTCCTTGTGGACATTTTTCATGAGCATCCAATGTACGAGCAGTCCAACTTGGGGCTTACCAGCTTTAAAGATGGTACAGCATCTCCTTGTAAAATAAGATACCTACATGCACAGACAACTTCTTTGACCATTGGTACTTTTTGGGGTACCATTGGTCCCTCATTCCTGAAGCCTTGTGATTAAAAGAGATACCCTGACACACCCCCCCAGCCTTTTTTTTTTTTTTTAAGGAGAAAACTTTAGCTCTATTAACTGAGAAACACAGCTTGGAAATATGAATGGAATGCATCCTTCAGGTTCACAAGCCAGAAAACTCCAAACCAGTTTTAAGTTGGACTCATGGATTTGAGAACGAGAATGCCAAACCTTATGGTCAAATTCACAATCACTCTCCTGTTGTCAAGGTGCTCTGGAAACATCCATGTAATGGTCAGATCCCCTCTACTCACAGGCCTCTGTTACCAGGGCCAACCAGCACTTTCTATTTTTTTTTCTTCATGAGCTTAGGGTTATTTCTCATATTTCTCACTTTTATTAAAAATTCCTCTATATCCTTCTCTTTTGCAAACCTCCCCAAATACAGGGTGCTGCAAATGTGATTAATACTACACTGTGTCCTTCTTCCAGGTCACGGTTAGATGTTAAATAGGACCAGCTCTAACACAAATCCCTATGATAAACCTTATGAACATGAATAACTCATTCCCCTAAACTGGGTTATTTTGCCATCTTAAACTGATATGCAGAACACAGGTCCCCAGGATGGGAAGGCACCACCTTCAGATCCTCACTGAATTCCACCATCACATGTTCCAACATGACCAAGTCCTATTTCTAGCAGAATCTTGCTACCTTCTGAGGGTTAGGAGCCACTTTCTGATTTCCAACACAGATTTACTCCTGGCCAGTTTATGCCATCAGTTCTCATGCAGACACTGTCCTCCAGCTCAGCTCTCTTTTCACCCTCATGTGTACCTCCAGATGCTTTTATAAACAACCAGTGTCTTCTAGGGAATGTGCTCTGCTTCGCTAAGCAAAAGAAGTTGATCTAATTCCCCTCTGAAATACACAACCACAGGAACAGCTCTACTGGGCCAGACCTAAGGTCCACCTCCTTTGGCATCTTCTCTGCTGACAGCAGCCCTTTGCAGTTGACTTGGGAAGACTATACAAATGAGCACCTGGTAATAGTTTCCGACATAATCTCCCAGCTTCCCACAACCGGAGGTTTAAGGGCCTTCTGAAACAGAGCTTGTATCTTTGTATTTAATAGCCACTGATGATTTTTTTCTTCATGACTGAGTCTAAGCTGCTGTGGATACCAACCAACCTTTTGGCATCTACAGCTTTCTGTAAAAAAAGTACATCCTTTGATGTGCTGCCTGACCTTTTCAGTTGCTAAAACCTGTTTGCACAGTGGAAAAACAGCGAACAATCACGCTCGTGTCACTTTTCTGTACCACTCATGATTTCAAGCCCTTGATACCCCCTCTGCTGTCTCCTTTTGAAGTTGAAAAGCTTTATCCTATTCAATAATTCCTCACATAGAAGCAGCCTTTTGATTGTCCTTGCAATCTTTATCTTTACCAAATGATGTAATCTTCATTATCCGGTTTCTTTCTATTGTTACCTTCTCTGCACCATTTCCCATTCTACTACATCCTTTGAGGTACAGCAGAGGGGGCAGACGTACAGCTGCACATTCAAGATTTATTTAGTGAGATTGTGATTTTTCTATGTTTTCTTCTCTCTTTTTTTCCTAATAAACCCTAACATTCAATTTCAGCTTGGGTTTTCAGTTTGTTGAGGGTTTTTTCGCCTCTGGGAGCACAGAGCTCACATACTCACAGAACTCTTAACTCCATCATTTCATTCCTGAATGATAATAACTAGCTCAGCATCACTTACAGGGCACATAAAGTAAAAACTAATTTTTCCAATATACATTACTTTACATTTATCTACTTGGCATTTCATACCTCCATTACTTGGTATCATTTTTACAATTATTTATAGACAGTCTCCATCATTACGGTATTCATATTACTGAGAAACTGCACGACCTGCTTATATACCATCTCATCCAGATCATTCATGATTATTCTGATGAACAAAAGAACTAACCTGCAATAATACCTCTGATGGCCTTTCTGCCTTGACAGATCTGCCCCTTTGAATCAGTGAAAACTGCCTTCTGGGCAGTCTGACTCCTTCCAGGAGCAGAAAGAAAGGCTGCAGATTCTTCTTTGCCCCATTCAACCTCAGACCTGTCCCTAAACCTGTTTTCACTGAGTTACTCTTTCATGATCATGAACCACCGTCCTACTCACAAAGCTGCAGAAAAGGCTTCCCCAGTGCCTTTTGCTGATCTCAGCACGTGCTGATACTCCCTTAGCCTTGCTAGAAAGCCTACTCTTGATATGATTAGGACCACATCTGCTTTTCTTAGGGCTACACGACACGTAGGGCAAAGCCTGAACTAATAGATTCAAGTGGTCCTCACTGATTGCTGGCAATGTGATCCTGGTTTAGAGACAAACAATCTGTTATAAATCCAGCTACATGTCTGCATCTTGTATTACTGAATTTCATCCCATTCCTGTGGTTCCCATATCCAGACCATCAAGTTATTTCAACTACAGTCATGCTTCCTCTTTATCTGTGGGAATTCCCATTTTTATGTTCTCAGTCTTATAGGTCTGTCTTACCATGTATACCCACATTCATTGAAGTGGAGCATATGAAGGCTGGAAAATATCAGAGATCAGGCAGCATGGGATATAGAATCATAGAATCGTAGAAT